ACGAGCATTGCAGCTTGAGTCTCCTGCAAATATTTTTTACATGAATATTCATCCACATGAATGCGTATTTGTGAACATTTTGCATTTGTGTGCGTTCCAGTGAGTAAGAGCTGCCCCGTTTGTACTCGTGCGTGTGTGTGTGTGTTTAAACGTGAGCGAGAGAGCGGCCGTGGGTGTGTACACACACCCTTCTGCTGATGAGGCCTAGTGCCAGAATCAATAGAGTGCTTCTGAGGCATCATACTGTAGTACGAGAGAGAGGCCGGAAGAGATTTTAATAAATACAGTGTGCATGAGAGCATGGCCTGACTTGTCACTGCAATCGCCCCAAACGAAATTAAATCTCCCCCTTTTATAATCTATATGTATGAAAGACAATTTGCCATCACAGGAATCAATTTAATAGGCTATTTTTAAATATATTAAGATGGAAAAAGAGTTTTTTTAAACTTTAAAATATTAAAAAGTGACAGTTTAACATGCCACAAATACCGCAGAAACTGTCATAAATTACATTTTAAAAGGGGCATAACTTAAGAAAACAGGATTTTCTTTGTTCTTTTTGATGTAATACCACTGGCAAAATGGCCTTTCAATAAAACTTGGCAACCTATGCAGTAGAAAGGCAAAAAAAAGAAAGAAAGAAAAGGAATCGGTGCTATCTGATAGCTAGTCTTCCCTTTTGCCAAATAGGAAGGAAAACTTCAACACCCAAAATGCAAGTCCAAGGCCACGCCCACCAGTCTGCTATGGATATGCTTACCATCAAATACCACCTTGTTTTAGTAGAAAATACTTCTTAGCAAACTTTTAGTTACAATGGTGTCGACTTGGGTGCAATAACGTTTAGTGGGAGAGAGTTATTTTTGGTTTCCAGCCAGTTGCAGTCAGTGGCTAGCCTGGGAAAACCCAGACAACTTCCGGCAAATTTAGATTTGCTCTGAAAGTTAGTCTGGCAAAGAGCTCATTCAAGCCCATTTCCAATCCGCCGAAATCGAGGCACCAATCAGAAACGTTGGGGCGGGCTTTACACGATGACGACAGCGCTGGGATTTTGAAGCAGATTTTGTAGCCTACATTACAAAGATGGATGCCTCCGTCGAACATCACTCGTTCGAATCAGCTATCGCGTCTGTTTTAAGCGATTTAAGCGTTTCCTTTTTGTTAAAAACCGAGCAAAGAACAACACTCGGAGATGTTTCTCCACCGCTCTGCATACGTCATCTCCTTCATCGCTCTGATTGGTTTTAGGTCTATCCGCGACGTCCGTTGTTGCCGCCCCTCTGGAAATGATTTGTCTATGACGCTTTGCCAGACCATAACTCAGTTACAACTGAGAATGGTCTGGTTTTAACCAGGCTAGTCAGTGGCTAAAGGCTGCAAAGAATCGTAAATACGGAGAGAACGCCGAGACGGAAAATCTATTTGAAAATGGAAAATCATCCAGTTTGAAATGTTGACCATGTTTGTAGTCAATATTTCAAACCGGATGACTACGCACACAGTGTTTTAGGGCAAACAGAGGGGGAAAACTGAAAGAAACCACGCAACCCAACGAAACAAAATGCCGTCACGTCCAGGTAAGAAATCTGTAGCCATAGTGTTCTATGTTTATAATTCTGTTTAGAGTAGACAGAGAGTAGACAAAGTACAATACAATTTTCAGCAATAACTGTTCTGTTAATAACCCTCTGTCGATCCGACAGTCTTTGGGCGGGGATACAAAAATGCGGAAGTATAATCTGTAGTTTTCACGAAAGCCCTGGAGCTGTAAAAAAAGGACTTTTGCTGACAAATAAATGTGAATTTCTCGGTCCAGGTAGCATGAAGAACGAGTAACACCACTGTTCATTTACATATACTAACGACACTGTAACAATACAAAGAGGGTTGAAAATCTGTGAAGTTACACTTTAAGCTTCAGTTCCGATATGTGCAAAACGTTATTCAAAAAATCATAGCACATTAACATATGATCACCAGTGTTTACTTATAAATGGCTATTTAGTTATCAGCAACTTCATGAATCAACCCTGAGTTATTTACAAATAAAAGTCTTAAAGATACAGTACCGAAACCGCTGGTTTATTTGTAAAGGTCAGAAAGGGTGCACAATTGCTTTTATAAAACTAAATTAAGACCGTTAAATAACATTATGCAAAATATAAAAGTGTAGAATACAGCCCGAAAATATGACAAATGATAATATAACTATATGTAATAACCCAGAAAAAATATAAGGTACAAAAGGCTGATTTTCTGTATCATACCAGTAGGTAATACACCTTAAACCAAATTACACCCATAAACACTATATTCTGTCCTGCATTTCTTTATAGCTGCAATATTGTGATGTCAAATATGGCAGAAATGCTCGATAAGCACAATATAAATGCTTGTGTAATTTTAGTCTGAGTGGATCCCGTACAAAACAAAAGAAACTGTCACAGAGAGTCAGGCTTTAAGCTAACAGGCGCAAATGTGTTTTTCATCATTCATTTGGAGAGACTGAAGGTCCACTCTTTTTGGCTCTTTCTATCTCTTCCAGACTTGAACTTGGGAGGCCTTCTTGCACTTGACAGAACTTTCTAACATAAAAACCACTTTCCTAAAAACCATCAAGCTGTCAAGTGAAGTGGAAAAATGAGAGAGATTACTGCATAAAGGCCGAGAAGGGGGACAAAGAGAAAGAAAGGAAAAGAGATGGAGGATGACTCAAGATTCTCCTGCAGATAAAACACATAAAAGGTTCCAATGACTTTTTCATCACTTCACACTTATTTATTCTTCTTTCTCTCTCTGTCTCTCTTTCTTTGTTTACTTAAGCATTTATTATTCACAATAAAAATTTGTTTTTTTTACAAGAATTCTACAAGAATATACAAACTATATATATTCTATCTCATAAACCTACCTCTAATCCTAACTGATTTATTTTAACAACGTGACATAATGAGTATTTGTACTTGTTATTTAGAAAATTGTTATTTTTTGGGTATTTGTAAACATTAAGGAACTCTTAATTCCAATGTAATTAATGTCTAATAAAGCACTTAATTAATGATATTTTCCGATATTTCGTGACCTAATCTAAAGTGAGAACTAATTACGGTTAATAAGTTGTTAGCAAAGCATTATCTAACTCTTTATATATGAGCTAATTAAACAATAAAAATTAGTTAATTACAGTGACAATGAACGAAGAATTCACTGTTTGTATATAGTCTACTAATGTATTAATTAACTATAAACTAATAGTTTGCACAAGATTTGCAAATACTTTATTACTGTATATACTTATTATAAAGTGTTACCAGATCTCAACATGAGCTCAAACATTTCTCATTAAATTCCCCCAAACTCAAATGATCTCAGCTGTACTATCCACATTCATTTCACAGCTTTACTCATACTATACGTCTCACTTACACCTTTTTACATCTATTAAGGAAATATAGGAGAAACATCCGAGACAAAGACAACCAAGAACTCTATTAAGTCTCCTGAGCTCTGAATGAGCAAACCGAGCGATAAAATGTTCCTCTGGGTAATTAGTATTCTTATGAAACATTTGTGATAGGCAGAGCCTTCGATTGAATTCATTTGCTGCTGCTGCGTTTGCATTTCGTGCAAATAGATGTGCTCGTAATAAGACGATCAAGGGTTTTTCTTATTACAGTCAACATCTAACATGATGACTTACACGCTCATGGCGGGATGGGGGCGGATGAACGAAACGTGTATGGCTGTGTGCGCGCTTTTACAGAGTGAATATTCTTTGCACTAAGAGAAAGGAAGTGGAACTACAGCAAAGTGACTCCCCTTGCATTCAACATCTATGATGTCATAATCACTCGCATCAAAGGCATTCCGTTCGCCACGGCAACTGTCATTCTCCCTGGAGGCGTCATTAAAACAGAACACACCAAACCGAGCTGAGCAAGAGCTTACGGAGAAACTTCAAAACACACACACACACACTGCAACCAAACGATGTTAGAGCGGGACAGCAAGTTTCTACTGAACCTAAAAAGGAGTGACATAGTAATACATTCACATACACACACACACACACACACACACACGTGCCTGCAGACATTCATACGGTACGATCGCACACAAACACACACACACACATGCTCAGAAACACTAAAAGACACTATAAATAGGCCAGCTCTAATGTGGTGCTGTGTAGTTCTTGCCCTTGGGTACAAGGCTCTTCCAGAAAGAAAGAGAGAGAGATGGAGAGGAAAAGGAAGGAAGAGTATGAGAAGCGAGGGAACGGGATTGAAAATGCAAGCCAAAAAAGAAGAGTTAGCGCTTTTTGAGGGCTATCTTTTTGTGATATGCGACAAAAAATACACGGAAATAAATCTTCTAGCCAAACCTGCATACAATGTGTTTAAATGCAAAAATGTATTACATATAAATTTGCACTATTTTTTATTTGATCAAAGTACAGTAAAACACTAATATTTTGTACAATTTAATTTATAAAATATATAAAATAACAGTTTTCCGTTTTAATAGATTTTAAAATGAATGTATAAAATACATGTGATTTATTCCTGTAATGACAAAGCTGAATTTGAAACATCATTACTCCAGTCTTCAGTGAGATCCATCAGAAATCATTCTAATACGCTGATTTCTTATTATTATCAATGTTGAAAACAGTTGTTCTGTTTAATATTTTTGTGGAAACAGTAGCACATTTTCAGATTTCTTTAAACAGAAGGTTCAGAAGATCAGCATTTATTTGAAATATAAATCTTTAGTAACATTTTAAACATTTTTACTGAACTTTGGATCAATTTAATGCATCCTGAATTAATATAAGCTATAAAAATAACACCAAAATGCATATAATAATATGCTATAATGGCATGTCACATGGAAAACTTCCCAAAAGTATTTTATGCCAACTACCCCATTTGTTGTTGTGTGCTTGTGTTTTTTTTTTTGCATGTTTATGTTTGTGTTTGACCGTGTTGACCTACCCCAGGTAGCGTCTTCTGCTCGTGAAGCGCGGTCTGAGCTTTTAGCGCCGATTCTCTTGCACAGTATGTGAGGAAGGCACAGCCTGAGAGAGGAAATAACAGAGACAGAGATAAATTAAAGACAGGTCAGAGAGGTTGAGACACAAGCAGGTGTCCGTTTGAGTGGAGCTGGGCTCTCTACCTTCATATTGTTTTTGCCAAACCAGGAAAGAAAAACAACATTATTACATTTGTGTAGCAGACACAGAGACATAAAAGAAAGAAGAGAGATGAAGACGTTCTGAGCACATGCCCAGAGCCATACACACTTATGCTCCCCAGAGAAAGACGGAGAGTGTGTGCAAATACAAGTGTGTGTGTGTGTGTGTGTATGTGGAAGAAAATATGCAGCTTCTTTTAATTTTCTGGTTACAAGGCCTTGCTGGTATCAACATTTAACAGTGTATGAATGTGCATGCTTGCTCATTAAATTGACAGACAATAAGGATGCACTGTTTGGGATTTTTTGGCCAATAAAAAAAGCTGATCATTAGTTTTTGTAAAAAAATAGCATTCATACTAGCACTTTTCAGAATATTACCTGCTTTAAGTACACTCAGGCTTGAACAATTTTATGTACAAAAACCTGCTTAGTTTGAAAGCAAAGCATAAAATATACACTCACCGGCCACTTTATTAGGTACACCTGTCCAACTGCTCGTTAACACTTAATTTCTAAGCAGCCAATCACATGGCGGCAACTCAGTGCATTTAGGCATGTAGACATGGTCAAGACAATCTCCTGCAGTTCAAACCGAGCATCAGTATGGGGAAGAAAGGTGATTTGAGTGACTTTGAACGTGGCATGATTGTTGGTGCCAGAAGGGCTGGTCTGAGTATTTCACAATCTGCTCAGTTACTGGGATTTTCACGCACAACCATTTCTAGGGTTTACAAAGAATGGTCCGAAAAAGAAAAAACATCCAGTGAGCGGCAGTTCTGTGGGCGGAAATGCCTTGTTGATGCCAGAGGTCAGAGGAGAATGGCCAGACTGGTTCGAGCTGATAGAAGGGCAACAGTGACTGAAATAACCACTCGTTACAACCGAGGTATGCAGCAAAGCATTTGTGAAGCCACAACACGCACAACCTTGAGGCGGATGGGCTACAACAGCAGAAGACCCCACCGGGTACCACTCATCTCCACTACAAATAGGAAAAAGAGGCTACAATTTGCAAGAGCTCACCAAAATTGAACAGTTGAAGACTGGAAAAATGTTGCCTGGTCTGATGAGTCTCGATTTCTGTTGAGACATTCAGATGTTAGAGTCAGAATTTGGCGTAAACAGAATGAGAACATGGAACCGAGCATTGTTTCTGACCATGTCCATCCCTTTATGGCCACCATGTACCCATCCTCTGATGGCTACTTCCACCATGTCACAAAGCTCTAATCATTTCAAATTGGTTTCTTGAACATGACAATGAGTTCACTGTACTAAAATGGCCTCCACAGTCACCAGATCTCAACCCAATAGAGCATCTTTGGGATGTGGTGGAACGGGAGATTCGCATCATGGATGTGCAGCCGACAAATCTGCGGCAACTGTGTGATGCCATCATGTCAATATGGACCAAACTCCCTGAGGAATGCTTCCAGCACCTTGTTGAATCTATGCCACGAAGAATTGAGGCAGTTCTGAAGGCAAAAGGGGGTCCAACCCGTTACTAGCATGGGGTACCTAATAAAGTGGCCGGTGAGTGTATATATATACTGTGTGTATATATATATATATATATATATATATATATGCTCGCACACAAAATTGTATGTGTATATATATATAATTTTTATATTTTTTTTACTGGCAATAACATTTTTACTGGCCGCAACCGTCATTTTTTTATATTTGTACATGTGTTATAATTGTACAATTCATTAATCATTTATCATGACAAATTATTTTAATGAATTAATTAAATTTGTTGTTATATTTGCAATAACAATTGTAACTTCATGAAAAAAAAAATCATAAATATTCATTAGTCATGTGAATGATGCTTCTGGGATTTCAACAAAATGCTAGGCAGCCATATAGATAACATTATCTGCCATTTAAATGATCAGAATTCACAACCACAATATTCAATACATTACAGAGCACCAAATGTTTAAGTTTCGAGACCAAAAACACATCAATAAATGTCAGATTTAAGAGACAATGCAGCACTGGTCCCAAAGGGCAAGAGGCAGTTCCTTAAAAAACAAGATTTGCAAATAGAAACTATGAACTAACAATGAAAAGTAGTGAATTAACAAAATTTACTGCACGATGAAAGGATAAGCCAAACAACGACAACAGCAACAACAAAAAGTTATGGAGGAAATCTGTAAAAAGAAAGAATGAGATGGCGAGAAAGTTCATCCAAGCACGTCTGATGCGATAGGATCTTTTTCTCAGCTTTCATGGCCTGCTGCAACTCACGCCTCACTCTTTACGTTCGGTGTGTCAAGACGACAATCTTCCTGTCCCTCCTCGGAACATCTGTCCTAACGTGCATCAATGTGAGTTTGTGTTAACATCCAGCTCTTCGAACATGCACTCACTCTCATATGATGCTAATCTCACCCCGCTAAAGTAGTTTGCTAAAAACAACCGTGAATCTTTTCAGCGTCAACTTAATCAAAAAATCCCACTGGGATAGGAATTGAGTGGAATAACCACTGAACAAAAGCTGAAACGATTAGCGTCGCATTTGTACATGAAGTAAGCAAATTTGAATATGCAAAAGAATGTTAATGGATGCTAATGTTTATGCTAATCTTGCATTAATATAAAAAAAATGCTAATATATTAATATGCTGAGTAAACATGATAATCTGCCGCTGACATTTTCTGCCTGCATGCTAATAGTGTTCACAAACGACGATAAGATGGAAAGACTGATTGCTAACCAAAATGGGAAATTAAAACATAAATTTATTTTCAAACAAACCCTTGTTGCAGCAAGATGCTAATCTTTTCTTTTTAACAAAAAAAAAGGAACATAAAACCATTTTGGTGATGAAAGAAAAAATGACCATGTTAACCACAGGTTCTGCAGTTATTGTAAAAAAAAAAAAAAAACGTACAATTATGAAAAATGTATATGAGATTTTGGTATTTTACAATAAAGTTTCATTCGTTACCTTTAGTTAAATATAAGCGTTAACATGAACTAACAATGAAAAATACTTCTACAGCATTAACCCTGTTTACACCATAGACTGTAAAAAAAGATGGACGACGCCCCTTCGCTCTTTTCCATTGGAGAGAACTGACGCCGCCAGTGTCCCGATATGGCGCTGACATATTGGAACTTGAGTCTGCGCAGTAGCGTTTTCGGGACCAGTCGCAGTCGTGAGCAGGAAGTAAAGCCGCGAAATCAAGGCCCCGCCCTCACTCTCGCGGAATCAATCGCAAGCACACGCCCCTGCACTTTTCTTAAGTGGCCTTTGTCTGCTCCGTTCCTCTCCAATGATGTCTGCTGATTGCAGTACCTCGTTAAAATAAGGTAAATACAACTACTAACCACATAGTCAACATTATGAAAAAAAGTCAGTTGATGCTTCAGTTACTACTTCACACAGAGAACCTGTCAATCACAGCTGTCAATCATGATGTCACAGCACCGTTTTTATAGCATCAAATCACTAACTAAAAACTAACTAATTTTAAAAACAAACACTTGAAATTCCATCAACGTGATAGAAACTACAGTAAATGACAGAAAATATCTTATGTGAAGTGTAATTTAATTGTTTAGTTGGTCTCGCGTCCCGTTGAATAACACGGGGAGGCGGGGTTTATGACCTATACTAGGACCGGTCACTGGGGGGCGATCGAGACGCTTTGGCTTCACTTTTGAGGGCTTGTGCGGCACGCTTGGTTTACACCTGTTATTAAGATGCGTTTTGGCCGATCGGATCACAAGTAGACGAGGGAGACGCATTCTTGTTCACACCTGGTGTTTAATAGGTCATTTGTCCACTTTCGACCACTTCTGTCCTGATTTATTCGAGGGGAGGGTCTATGGGTTGGTAAATGATTGTGTTTTTTAGATCTTTCGATCTAATGCACAAAATAAGCTCGCGCAATTTACATATCAACACGCCCGGAGACGATGGAAAAACACACCAAATAGAGGTCTCTGCAGACGGTATAGGAGTTACCAGATCAGGGGGCGAGCCCATAAACAGAGGGGCGTTTTCAACCGCGTTACCTGATTTGCCCACGTCACAGTGTCGGTAGGTCTTAGGGGTGGGGTCGGGAGAAGGGCATCATTTTCATTGCATGATTTATAAACACCCACCAGTGTGAAAACACCCACAAATTTAGAAACACCCAGTTTTGTTCCGCAGACACCTCCTACTCAAACACACAGAGAGCAGCAGCTTTCGTTTCTGCTCGGATAGCCACGAGTGTTAGCAATCAGGAATGGTGAGAGAACATTGTGCTTGGGACGTTTTTTTGTCTTATTTTATGCATTACGTCAGTAGGCAGCGTTTTTTTGTGGCTGTTCGAACGCATTCGACCACATAAGCGTCTACACTACCAAAGCAATTCGGTCAAATGCGTTTTCGACTACCTCTGGAAGTGGTCGAAAGTGGACAAGCTCAAAACGTTTTTAGACCCTGTTTACACCTGCATTTAGCGTCATCCACTTATGATCCGGTCTACCAAAATGCTTCTTAATATCAGGTGTAAACAGGATCCGAGACTCGAACTTGTTCGAAGCCCTGCCCACAAGGCCATCGGCTCTGTCTAGTAGGTAATTACTTTAGTAGCTATTTTGGTGGATACTAAAAAAAAAAAAGAAGAGAGCAAAGGGAACTAAGACCGAGAGGATCAGGAGCGTAACTTTCTCCCTGCCTCATAAAAAGCCCCAGTGCCGCAGGGACGCTAAACACACACAAGGGACACACGCGCTGACGTTCACACACACGGGCAAGAGCATGAATCAGCAATATTCTTCCCCGCTGTCCACTCTGTGTGTTTAACCCTGGCCAGGTTGGGTGAGCGCATGTACGCTTGCGTATATATGTGTGTGCGTCGATGTGTGTG